TTCTCTTTCTCTTCTTTCTCTCTTTCTCTTCTTTCCCTCTCTCTTTTTTCCCTCTCTTCTTTCTTTCCCTCTTTCTCTTGTCTTTCTTTCTCTCTCTTTCCCTCTCTCCTTCTTTTCTTATTTTCTCTCTCTCTCTCTTTTTTTTCTTTCTTTCTTTGAGATGGATTTTAGCTCTGTCACCCAGGCTGGAGTGCAATGGTGCGATCATGGCTCACTGTAACCTCTGCCTCCTAGGTTCAAGCGATTCTCCTGCCTCAGCCTCCAGAGTAGCTGGGATTACAGGTGCCCACCACCACACCTGGCTAATTTTTGTATTTTTAGTAGAGACAGTGTTTCACCACATTGGGCAGCTGTTCTCCAACTCCTGACTGCAAATGATCCACCTGCCTTGGCCTCCCAAAGCGCTGGGATTACAGGCATGAGCCCCATGCCAGCTGTGTGCAGCTTTAGAAAAGTCTATCCACATACAGAGGAACAGCCCAGAGGAAACAGTGACATGATCAATTACCAGAGAACAGTTACCTCTGGGTGGAAAGATTATGCGGGGATTTCAATAATATTTCAGCCTCATTTTCAGAATATTCATATATGAATCAAACAAAAATATGAAGTTTTAAAAACTTGTAATTTTGGTAAAGAGGAATTTTTAAAAACTTGTAATTTTGGCAAGTATCAGAGGCTGGGGTAAGAAATAAAGACCAGGAAGCTGGAGCTGCAGCTGCTGTTGCAGGTTGGGGCTGGGTGGTGTGTGGGAGCGGAACGGGGACAGAGGAGGGGCTGTCTTCCCCGACCCCCATGCTTTGCACTCCACAGCTTGTCAGCTGCCTTTCCCACAGAAAGGTGTTTCTCAAGCTTTCCAGACAACTGATGTGCACAGCAGTCACTGTCCACTAAATTAAGCGGAAATTATTTAATTCACTTATTCATCAATCAACTCAGAAGAGTAGTCTACAAAAAGAATGTTGGAGAAGAAAAAAAGACCATGTTCTGTTCAGGACCCACCCTGGTCCCCTTTCCCTCATGGAGGGCTGCCATCTTGGCCGCAGCCTTGAAGCCCTCACTGACGTTGACCCTGAACCCAATACTGGCTTTGATGCTGACACTGACCTGATGCTGATGCTGGCGCTGGCCCTGACCCTGGCCCTGACCCTGATGCTGATGCTGATACTGACACTGATGCTGGCCCTGGCCCTGACCCTGACCCTGATGCTGATGCTGATACCGACACTAATGCTGGCCCTGGCCCTGACTCTGACGCTGATGCTGATACTGATACTAATGCTGGCCCTGGCCCCGACCCTGATGCTGACCCTGATGCTGATGCTGATACTGATACTGACACTAATGCTGGCCCTGGCCCTGACCCTGAAGCTGATACTGACACTAATGCTGGCCCTGGCCCTGACCCTGACCCTGACGCTGATGCTGATACTGATACTAATGCTGGCCCTGGCCCTGACCCTGATGCTGATGCTGATACTGACACTAATGCTGGCCCTGGCCCTGACACTGATGCTGACCCTGATGCTGATGCTGATACTGACACTAATGCTGGCCCTGACCCTGATGCTGACCCTGATGCTGACGCTGATACTGACACTAATGCTGGCCCTGACCCTGACACTGATGCTGACCCTGATTGTCATGCTGATACTGACACTGATGCTGACCCTAATGCTGATGTTGACCCTGATGCTGACCCTGCCCCTGACGCTGACACTGACCACCACCAGCTGCCTCACCCCTGGCCGTCCCCTGCCCCCAGTGCCACACGGCCCCGACTGCCAGTCAATACCACTGGCTCAATCTTTCTATTCCTGCCTCCTCACCCCCATCAGCAGGTATCCATTTGGTCCCAATGGCTGGGTTTGTCCCCTGTTGTATCCCAGAACAGGTCCTAGCACTCAGGCGGTGCTCAGCATGTGCTGAAGGGAGGCAGGCGGCAGGGTCTGGCAGGGGCCCTGAGATGGGGACATGGAGCTGGGGTAAACTGAGGGGGAAAACAGGAGCTGTAGGAGGAGGTGCGTGGGGGGGCCGGGGTGGGCACCCTTCCACCTGTGCCTCTGCTCACCTGGACAGGGCCCTCCAGGGATGTCCCTCTGCACGCACCATGGCTCCTCGCCTCGTTCCAGATGGGAGATCACGTCTGGCTTGTGCAGTGGAGGCCCTGCTCCTAAGGAGAAAGTGTGGCTGGGCATGCTGTGGCTCTCCAGGCCCAGTCAACCTTATGGGACGTCCCCTAACAAGGACAATGCCTGTGACGTGGACACCCTCTCTGGGAACAGGAGGCCCTCTGGGCCAAAAGTGGTGAGGGGTCTCAGACTGGAACCCCATTCCCAGTGCACACTCTGAAGACCCCGCATGTGCTCACGTCCTCACTTAATTGCTTAAGGACCATTCCAGAGCCAGCTGGGCTCCAGGGTCCCACCTTCCTCTCTTCTCTCCCTATCCCCACCCCAAGGGAGATGCCAAGCAAGGATGCTATCAGATCTCACACTGTCCCCTGACAACTTCTGGCATGGCCGAGGCCCCTGGCCATGAGTGCCCCAAGGCACAGGCCTTGTTTCCCACTCCATGACATGTCTGGCACCAGGGCCAGGACTGAAGGGATCCTCCTTAATGTCTACCATACAGAAGAAGACTGACAGCAGATGCCCAGCCCGGGGGGCAGGGGGTGGGGTGGGGGAATCTTACCTAGGGCAAGAAGGTTCTGGTAGTTCTCCAACATCACATCCCGGTACAGTGCCCTCTGAGGGGAGTCTAGCTGACCCCACTCCTCCTGGGTGAAGTCCACAGCCACATCCTTGAAACTCACTGATTCCTGAAATGACATAGAGGTTCTCACTCACCTAGGACTGATTCTGTGTCCGTGGTTCCAAGGGAGCCAGAGATTAAGGACCCTATGAGTAAAGGGTTAACCTCAGGTGATCTTCTCCCACGCATAGAAGGTTGTGTTATAGACACTGACATGACTGAATTTGGGGCAGGGAGGGGGCTGGGAATCGGCATGCACCCCCCTACCGCCTTCTAGAATGGGAAAGCAGGTCTGAATAGATACCACTGGGACATGGCAACTTGAGATGGGGTCTGGGGGGCAGGGATATACACGGCTGCTGCATCAGGCTCTAAGTCCTGGGTGGGATGCTATGCTTTCTGGGGTTAAGAATTTCAAACTTAAAAACTTAAAAAAATATTAATAGTACAAAAATCCTAGCAACTCTATTCAAAACTCACTAATGCAAAAGGATCTGAACCCAGACTAGAAACTGTTATTACACTCTAAGGAAGGAAACTTTGTATATATCAGCAAGTTCTGTGCCCCAAGGGACTGAGAGAGGCTACCTGCAGTCCTCACCTGACTGCCTTCCCATCCTTCCTGCCTGCTCCCCCTGGACCTGGGCATTCTGGCCACCAACCAACTCCAGACTTGCTTTGATCCTTAAGGATCAAAAAGATGTCAAGTAATTTCACTGCATCCCAGGAACACTTAAGGAATTCCAAAAACCTACTCAACAAAGTAAAATGCCCAATGTCCAGCGTCCAATCAAATAACTAAAAGGTTAAAAATATTAATGAAATCAGAATTAAGAGTATATGTATTAGAACAGTATGTGTTTACCTCAGAAGAAGGTATTAGGGGAAAAAGAAAAACAAAGAAGACATCAGAGAAAACGAATAGCAAGGCCAGGCACAGTGCCTCATGCCTGTAATCCCCGAAAATCAACGAAACAGAAATAATAGTTATTTGAAAAGGTTTAATAAAATTGGTAATTAAACATACATTTACTATATGACTCAGCAATTTCACACCTAGGTATTTATGCAAGAGAAATTAAAACACACAGCCATACGTGTACTCAAATGTTTACAGCAGGTTTACTGTAATAGCAAAGGCCTATGAACAACCTACATGTCCATGACCTGATGACTGGATAAATCAGACTGCGGAAAATCCATCCAGTGGAGTAACAGGCTGAATTGTATATCCCCCACCTCAAATTCTCTTTTTTTTCTTTTTCATTTATTTATTTCTTTATTTTTACATTGCATTTTAGGTTTTGGGGTACATGTGAAGAACATGCAAGATTGTTGCATAGGTACACACATGGCAGTGTGATGTGCTGCCTTCCTCCCCATCACCTACATCTGGCCAAATTCTTATGTCTCAACCCTCAGTAACTTTGAGCGAAGTACTTTTTTTTTTTTTTGAGACAGGGTCTCATGCTATCATCCAGGCTGGAGTGCAGCAGTGGTACAGTCTCAGCTCCCTGCAACCTCTGCCTCTGCGGTTCAAGAGTCTACTGCCTTAGCCTCTCGAGTAGCTGGGATAAAAGGTGTGTGCCACCATGCCTGGCTAATTTTTGTATTTTCAGTAGTGACAGGGTTTTACCATGTTGGCCAGGCTGGTCTTGAACTCCTGACCTCAGGTGATCCACCCACCTCAGCCTCCCAAAATGCTGGGATTACAGGCATGAGCCACTGCACCTGGCCTGGAGAGAGGTTCTTTAAAGAAGTAAGTAAGTTAAAATGAATTCATTACAGTGGGACCTAATCCAATAAAACTGGTATCCTCACAAGAGGAAATCTGGACACAGACATAGAGGAGGTAAGCCCATGTGAAGATTCAGGGAAAAGCTGGCCATCATCTACAAGCCAAGGTGAGAGGCCTCAGAAGAAATCCACCCTGCTGACACCTTGATCTGTCTTCTTGCCTCCTGAACTGGAGAAAATCCATTGCTGTTGTTTAAGCTCTCCTGCCATGCTTTGTTATGGCAGCCCTAGCAGACTAATATAAATGGAATCTCACTCACCAATAAAAAGGAACAAACTAGTGATTCACACAAGAACATGGATAAACTCAAAAACACATGCTAAGCGAAATAAAGCAGAGAAAAAAGACCACATAGTATAGATTCCATATGAAATCCTTAGAGAGGAAAAATTATAGCCAAACTACAGTGGTGACCAAGGGGAGAGGGGAGAGGACTGAATGCCCAGGGGCATGAGGACATTTTTGGGTGATAGAAATGTTCCTTATCATGATTGTGGTGTTGGTTACACAACTGTGTATGTTTCCCAACCTCATCAAACTGTATACTTAAAATTGCGCAACTGTGCTGTATATAAATTACACCTTAATGAAACCTGACTCCCCAAAACACTGGATTTCAGATGAGGAGGTAGAGATGAGGACAAATGTGAGAACACACTCAAATGTGATGGATGACGATAGCCGAGGGAAGGAGAAAACGGGCTGAAACAAAGCTGCAGGCTGGGCCTGCGGGCGCACACCTTGGTCCCAACTACTCAGGAGGCTGAGGTGGGAGATTTGCTTGAGCCCAGGAGTTGGAGGCTGCAGTGAGCTATGATCCTGCCACTGCACTTCAACCTGGGTGACAAAGCGAGACTCCGTCTCAAAAAAAGAAAAAAGAAAAACAAAAAATAGCTCCAGAGGCATCAGATACAGTGCTGGCCAGTGGGCTGTCAGAGGCTACATGGCTTCAGCGTGGGGAACATCAACCAGCAAGAGTAGGGGAGGGTCTGAGGCCCACACAGGCCTTTTTGGTGGGTATTTCTGGCCCACTGGGAGAAGCCCATGTCCAGTGTGTCTTCATTCTGCAGGAAAGGGAATAAGATGCCCAGAGAGCTGGGTTTGGTGGCTCACGCCTATAATCCCAGCACTTTGGGAGGCCAAGGTGGGCAGATCACAAGGTCAGGAGATTGAGACTATCCTGGCCAACATGGTGAAACTCTGTCTCTACTAAAACACACACACACAAAATTAGCTGGGGGTGTTGGTGCAGGTTTGTAGTCCCAGCTACTCGGGAGGCTGAGGCAGGGGAAACGCTTGAACCTGGGAGGTGGAGGTTGCAGTACGCCAAGATAGCGCCACTGCACTTCAGCCTGTGACAGGGAGCGACTCTCACTAGGAAAAAAAAAAAAAGGCCAGAGAGCATGTGTTGGAATCAGATGCTGATGTGGAAATGACACCAGCAGAGAAGTCAGAACAGACTACACAAGATGTCCCAGGAGACAGAAAAACTTTAACTGCCAGTGTGAATGAGACTGTCAAGAGAAAATGCCAAAGGTGATATGTGCTCAGGAAAGTCAACTGGTTATTCACAGATCTAACAAGCTAATATTTTAGGAATAGGAATAATATATGCACAAAAAGGGCCCTACCGCCTTAAGGGAGCTGCACAGACACACACACATCCATACATGCACACACATTTTTTTTTTTTTTTTGAGACAGAGTCTCACTCTGTCACCCAGCCTGGAGTGCAGGGGCATGATCTCAGCTCACCGCAACCTCGACCTCCCAGGTTCAAGCAGTTCTCCTGCCTCATCCTCCTGAGTAGCTGGGATTACAGGCAAGTGCTACCTCACCCAGCTAATTTTTTTTTGTAATTTTTAGTAGAGATGGGATTTCATCATCTTGGCCAGGCTGGTCTTGAACTCCTAACCTTATGATCTACCCACCTCGGCCTCCCAAAGTGCTGGGATTACAGGTGTGAGCCACCGTGCCTGGCACATGCACACACATTTTTTTTTTTTGGCTGAACATTTGAAGGCAAGTTGCAGACATCATGACGTTTCACCCTAAAGTCTTCAGCTTGTATCTCCTGTGGATATTCTCTTATATAATGACAGTACTATTATCACACCCAAGAAATTTACTATTGATACAATATGACCTAAGATACAGCCCACTTTTATTCCTTTTTTTTTTTTTTTTTTTGAGACGGAGTTTCGCTCTTGTTACCCAGGCTGGAGTGCAATGGCGCGATCTCGGCTCACCGCAACCTCCGCCTCCTGGGTTCAGGCAATTCTCCTGCCTCAGCCTCCTGAGTAGCTGGGATTACAGGCACGTGCCACCATGCCCAGCTAATTTTTTGTAGTTTTAGTAGAGACGGGGTTTCACCATGTTGACCAGGATGGTCTCGATCTCTTGACCTCGTGATCCACCCGCCTCGGCCTCCCAAAGTGCTGGGATTACAGGCTTGAGCCACCGCGCCCGGCCGATACAGCCCACTTTCAAATTTCCTCAATTGTCCCAAACTCCCCTTTATCACTTTTTTTTAAATCTATACCCTAATCAAGGAACATGTGTTGCATTTGACTGTCAAGTTTCTTGAGAAGTATAAAGCATTGGGACACACTACAGAAGTGAAGCACATCTCACAATATGCGTTTTACAGCTGTTTCTAGCTGTCTGTAATCAGCCATCACCTCTTTTGAGTGGCAGACTGACAAAATCACAAAATGCTAAAAAAAAAAAAAAAAAAAAATCAAAAGACCCCTCATCCCTCCAGATCTTTCACTCCACTGTACTCTTTGTCAACTGCATGCTTCTAACTACTACCCGGTGGTTGAGGCAGAAAAACACAATGAGGAACAGAGCCCACAGTCTGTAAAATGAGGGATCTGGGTCCCATTTGGTTGCAGAAGTGCCCAGGGCCAATTCCTTGCTGAGCCTCCAGATTCTCTAAATCTCCAGGTATCTCCATGAAGGCCCCACGCCAGGGGCTGGGTACAGAGGAAACGACACAGGGATGTGTCTCTTACTGTCATTCTTTTTTTTTTTTGAGACGGAGTTTCACTCATGTTACCCAGGCTGGAGTGCAATGGCACCATCTCGGCTCACCGCAACCTCCGCCTCCTGGGTTCAGGCAATTCTCCTGCCTCAGCCTCCTGAGTAGCTGGGATTACAGTCATGCACCACCATGCCCAGCTAATGTTTTGTATTTTTAGTAGAGACGGGGTTTCACCATGTTGACCAGGATGGTCTCGATCTCTTGACCTCGTGATCCACCCGCCTCGGCCTCCCAAAGTGCTGGGATTACAGGCTTGAGCCACCGCGCCCGGCCTTTCTTACTGTCATTCTTAAGGCAGTGCTGCAATCCAGCCCTTCCTCAGCTGCCCCAATGCCCCTGCCTGATTCCATCCCAGTAAACTCCCCAAACAAGAACCAACGTTGCAAACACCCTGCACCAACCCCTGGCCAGGACGTGGACAGGCAATGCCACCCATATGAGCCACCACCTGCTTTCTCAGGTTCCACTAAAACCACTTCTCAGAGCTCTCAGCACAGCACTGGGCAGAGAGATCCCCGCAACTGGCCCAACAAATCAGGCTGGAAGAGCCATTCAATAGAGTTCATCTTCAGGGCACACCTGGGGCAACATCTGGACTCTTCAATTGGAGCTGTTCCCACTGCCCAAAGCTTCCCGAGGACTGGCCAGCAGGTACACGGGTGAAGGTCTGTGGAAGGCTGACGATCCAGGGCTGGGGAGGGAATGTGCCAGCCCTCTTCATAAAGAAGGACGAACACACAACCACTCACCTTGGACCTGGCTTCCGGAAGACCCCAACCCGATATATCCTCGGGATTCTCTTTCAGGGAAAGAGCAGGATCCTGAGAGGAAAGAGCTGGGGAAGAAGAAATGAGGCAAGGCATGGCCGCCAGGTTCACGGCTGAGCTTAAAGCCCACCTGTCGTGGCACAAGTGAGAAACAGAGGAGGCAGAACCTGCCAGCCAGGCCGGGTGGGGAACAAGCCCCAAAGTTGGGGAACGAGCACCAGCTGATACAGCATCAAGGGATAATTCTGCCTGTGTCTCAGACACTCCATGAAGAAAAGAGCTGCTATTCCCCCCATCAAGCACATCTGAGTGGGAGCAAATGGTTGGGCACCAGGAAGAAAGACGCAGGAGGCCAGGAGCAGCGGCTCACGCCTGTAATCCCAACACTTGGGAGGCCGAGGTGGCTGGATCGCTTGAGCTCAAGATAAGCCTGGGCAACATGGCGTCTCTACTAAAAATACAAAAATTAGCCGGGCGTGGTGGCGCGCGCCTGAAATCCCAGTTAACTTGGGAGGCTGAGGCGGGAGAATCGCTTGAACCCGGGAGACGGAGGTTGCAGTGAGCCGAGATCAAGCCATTGCACTCCAGCCTGGGTGACACAGTGAGACTCCGTATTAAAAACAAACAAACAAAACAAAACAAAACAAAAAAAAACGCCGGGCGTGGTGGCTCACGCCTGTAATCCCAGCACTTTGGGAGGCCGAGGCGGGCGGATCACGAGGTCAAGAGATCGAGACCATCCTGGCCAACACAGTGAAGCCCCTTCTCTACTAAAATATAAAAATTAGCTGGGCGTGGTGGTGCGCGTCTGTGGTCCCAGCTACTCGGGAGGCTGAGGCAGGAGAATTGCTTGAACCCGGGGGGGAGGAAGGTTGCAGTGAGCCGACATCGAGCCGCTGCACTCTAGCCTGACGCCTGGCGACAGAGCAAGACTCTGTCTCAAAAAAAAAAAAAAAAGATGATGGATGCTTCTGGGACACTGGCCTGATCTCTCTGAGCGTCAATATCCTTAAGTGCAAATCCACAGACACGCTAACTACAAGAGCGAAGCTGTACCTGTCTTCTCTGGCTCCGGGGCAGGGGTCTCCATGGCCCCCACGGCAGCCTCCCCAGGAGGAGTGGGCAGCTGCAGCCTCCCGGACCCGGGACAGGCCCAAAGGAGCGAGTCCTGCTCCTGGGGCTCAGAGGCCTGCAGCGGAGCCTCGCGGGGCGGCCACGCGCGCTCACAGCTGCACGGTCACACGCACGGAGGCCCCTCCCCGCGCCCGGCTGAGGTGGGGCTCAGGCCGGCTCTGCACACACCCACTCCCCACACCGGGCTCAGCCCCATGCCCGGACCACTCACGCCCCGGCACACCCCCGCCACAAACTCGTCCGGGCGAACCCGCGCCCGGGGACCAGGGCCAGGCCTAAAGTTCCGCGGCCCGGAGCCATCGGACGCGGAGCAGCCAGCGGAGAGGTCCCGAGGCGGACAGAGACCGCCGACGGTCTGACGGACGGGCGAGTAAGCGGACGGGACTTCCACAAAAGGACTGCGACTACCACAAAGAGCAGCCAGCGGCCGCCGCGAAAAAGTACGCCTGCGCGGAACGGGCGTGAACTACACCTCCCGGGAGACTTTGCGCCGCGCAAGCGTTGGACTCCATTTCCCAGAGGGAGGCCGGGGACGTGCTTACGTCCGGACGCCGACGAGTATGTAGCACAGCCTTCTGGGAAATATAGTTCCCGGGCCCGCAGCCGGGGGCTCGGGCACCCACTAGCTCTGGCACCCGCTATGCTCTTGCGGGCAAACGTCGCTGTGTATCTTGATGTGCGGACCAGTGTAAGGCCGCTGCATAAGTGTCTAATTGCGAAGATATTAGGAGGCCGGTGCCCAGGGACTAGGAATTATCCTGTCAGTTCGTCCACGTCTCCAAATGGAGTTCGTCCACGTCTCCCACATCTGTGTGCAGGAAAGATTCAAACCCTGGCTCTGGAGGTGGTGGGCCCGGCCTCGAGGGGTTTTCCAGAGGCCCTGCCCCCCTCCGTCTGGAGCCACACATCTGAGGCTCACGGGCGGGGTCTCCAGAGTTGGGAGAGCCCTGTCCACAGCTCACTTTCAGGGCGGGAAAGGAAGGTCTGGGCGGCGGCCCAGTCGTGGCACAGGGCTTTGCCATGAACACAGTGATGACGCCAGCGACAGGAACAGCGAATATGTACTGAGTACCAACCACACGCCAGGCCTGCTTCAAGAACCCGACGTGCATGTTCTGGCAGAAAGCTCACAGCAACCCAGGGAGGTTTGCTAACTATTATTATCCCATTTGGGAGATGAAGTTGCGGTATAGGGGGGTGGGGTCACGTGTCCCAAGTCACCCAGCCAGGAGTGGGAGTCCAGCACTGAAGTGTATTGCCACATTCCAACCGAGAGGTGGTCTGGGGTGGGGCAGGGTGGTGCACACTCCAAACCCTTCAGCCTCCCGCCTTGACCGCAGCTTAGGGTTGGCCACAGGCTCTCGCTTGACACCTGTGTCCACTGCCCACATCAGCACAGCTGTGCCCGGACCTCCCCTGGCCAGTGCAGCGCCCGTGTTTGATTTTGTTTTGAGTCTGGGTCTCACTCTGTCGCCCAGGCTGGAGTGCAGTTGCACAATCATGGTTCACTTCAGCCTCAACCTCTTGGGCTCAAACTATCCTCCCACCTCAGCCTCCCGAGTAGCTGGGACTACAGACATGCACCACCACGCCAGGTTAATTGTATTCAGCGCTTTTTTTTTTTTTTTTTTTAGACAGAATCTCACTCTGTCGCCAGGCGCCAGGCTGGAGTGCAGTGGCGCAATCTCGGCTGACTGCAATCTCCACCTCCTGGGTTCAAGCAATTCTCCTGCCTCAGCCTCCCGAGTAGCTGGGACTACAGGCACGCACCACCACGCACAGCTAATTTTTGTATTTTTTTAGTAGAGACGGGGTTTCACCATGTTGGTCAGGATGGTCTCGATCTCTTGACCTTGTGATCTGCCCGCCTCGGCCTCCCGAAGTGCCGGGATTACAGGCGTGAGCCACCGCGCCCGGCTCAGCTCCCGGGACAGGAGCCTTGGTGGGATGTGGAACTGTTGATTGCATAGTGCATGAGTCCTTTTCTACTTGTGTAAGTTTGTGTATGTTTGTTTCTCTGTGTATCTTACAGGTATAGGTGTTTGTCTGCTCTTGCCTCACATTTCTTACATGTTTCTGTCTGGGTGTGCCTTTGGGAAACAAGTGTGTACATACACCTGTGCACAGGTGACTGTACCTATGAGGGTGTATATGGCCACTGTCTCAACAGTTCTGGAGTCTGGGTGTGTGTTTGTGTGCAGGCTTATGTACATGAGACAGGAATGTGTGCATGGGAGTGGAACTTGTGTGCATGGTGTGTTTGCTGATGAGTCTAATGTGATTATCTGTTGGCATCTGGGTATTGACTAATAGGTTGGGTCTGAGTCTTTCTGTGTAAGTGCATATGTGTACCTGTGTGCCTCACTGTGTTTACACAGGTCTGAATGTATGACTGGCGTATCTGTGCATGTGACCCTCTGCGTGTTCATCTCTATAGACTGGATGTTGGCCGTTTCATCTATGTCTGGTTGCCTGAGTGTGTTCTGTGTGATAGTGAGTAGATGCCTCATGCAGGTGACTATGGATGGCGTCTTGTTCAGGTGAATCTGTAAACCTGTGTGTGTGTGTTTCTCCCAGAATTCTAGTTTGTGTGAGATGGTATGCACCTCTGTTTGTGGGGCTGCAGACCTCACAGGTCTAGTTGTGGTTGTGTGTGTTAGTTGGGTCGTGTGTGTGTCTGCATGTGTTCTTCTGTATTCCACTGTGTGTTGACTCGCAGGGATCAATATCGTCAGCATGTGCATCCTTGTGTACATGTGTATGTCACTGTGGGCCTCATGGATCCTCTGTGTCTGTAGGAACGCCAGTGTGAGCCCAAAGATTGTACATCGAGTGCTCTGTCACCGGCATCTCTGCCCAAGTACAAAGGCTGTAGGGACAGGGATGTGTCCAGACTGAAGGGAAGAGTGGAAGGGAGGATGCCGTCATTACTGCTGCTGACTATAGACTTCTGGGGCTGGGAAAGGCATCTACAGCAAGACCATTTAGCCTAAGATTCTCACTTACATAAGGAGAAGTCCCAGGTCATTTCTGATTCCTAGTTCTCTGATTCCTCAATTCTCAAAGGATGACCAGCAGGGATGTGTGAATGACCAGTGAAATATGGATATATTTATGCCTTCTTTTCCCCCTGAGATGGAGTTTCCGTCTGTCACCCAGGCTGGAGTGCAGTGGGGTGATTTCAGCTCACTGCAACCTCCGCATCCCAGGTTCAAGCAATTCTTCTGCCTCAGCCTCCCAAGTAGCTGGGACTACAGATGCCTGCCACCATGCCCAGCTAATTTTTGTATTTTTGGTAGAGATGGAGTTTCACTATGTTGGCCAGGCTAGTCTTGAACTCCTGACCTCATGTGATCTGCCCACCTTAGCCTCCCAAAGTCCTGGGATTATAGGTGTGAGCCATCATGCCTGGCCTATATATGCCATTTTTTTTTTAAAGTGGAAGATTTTATTTTATTTTATTTTGAGACACAGTCTCACTCTGTTGCCCAGGCTGGAGTGCAGTGGCACGATCTCAGCTCACTGCAGCCTGTGCCTCCCAGGTTCAAGCCATTCTCCTGCCTCAGCCTCTTGAGTAACTGGGATTACAGGCGCGTGCCACCACGTCCAGCTTATTTTTGTATTTTAGTAGAGAAGGGGTTTCACCATATTGGTCAGGCTGGTCTCGAACTCCTGACCTCATGATTTCCCAACCTTGGCCTCCCAAAGTGCTGGGATTACAGGCATCAGCCACCATGCCTGGCTGGAAGATTTTATTTTTGTATGGTTTTTGTTTGTTTGTTTGTTTTTTAGATGGAGTCTTGCTCTTCACCCATGCTGAAGTGCAGTGGTGCGATCTTGGCTCACTGCAACCTCTGCCTCCTGGGTTCAAGTGATTCTCCTGCCTCAGCCTCCTGAGTAGCTGGGACTACAGGCGCACACCACCAAACCTAGATAATTTTTTTGTTTTGTATTTTTGGTAGAGACGGGGTTTCACCATGTTGGCCAGACTGGTCTCGAACTCCTGAGCTCAGGTGATCTGCCTGCCTTGGCCTCCCAAAGTGCTGGGATTACAGGTGTGAGCCACCGTGCCCGGCCTAAAGTAGAAGATATTAAAGACCAAAACACAATAATGTCTTACTACGTTAATACTTGGTGTTACAACTGAAAAATTATTTTATTTTTATTTATTTATTTACTTAGAGACAGTGTCTTGCTCTGTGGCCCAGGCTGGAGTGCCGTGGTGCGATCTTGGCTCACTACAGTCTCAGCCTTCCTGGCCCAAGCAATCCTCCAACCTCAGCCTCCAGAGTAGCTGGAACCACTGGGGCATTCCACCATGCCTAGCATGTAGCACACTCTTCTGGGAAATGTAGTAGAGACGGGGTTTCACTGTGTTGGTCAGGCTGGTCTCGAACTCCTGACCTATGATCCTCCCACCTCAGCCTTTTGTTATTTTTTCTAGAGACAAGGTTTCATTATGTTGGCCAGGCTGGTGTCAAACTCCTGAGTTCAAGAGATCTGTCCGTATTGGCTTTCCAAAGTGCTGGGGTTATATGCATGAGCCACAGCACCTGGCCTGAGAAAATATTTTTAATACCTTTTCCAGCCCTGAGACAGTGGCTCACATCTGTAATCCCAACACTTTGGAGACCAAAGCGAGACCAGCCTGGGCAACATGGTGAAACCCTGTCTCTACTAAAAGTACAAAAATTAGCCGGGCATGATGCTGTATGCCTGTAATCCCAGCTACTCAGGAGACTGAGGTGGGAGGATGGCTTGAACCCAGCAGTCGAGGCTGCAGTGAGCCATGATTGTGCCACTGCACTCCAACCTGGGGAACGAGCAAGACCCTGTGTCAAACAAACAAACACCTGTTCCAATAATCACAACATGGTTTGTATCAGACAAACTCTCTTGCCAATAACAATTCAAAACTTACACAGAGAGATAGATCTCAGGAAGAAAGCAGTACTTTTAATGGGCTGATGATACAGAGGTCAGAGTTTGTGGCCTCCAAAGTGTTTCTAAGTTGAGAGGCAAAGTCCAGGAACAGAGACAGTCAAATCGGGGTAAGCCTGAGAATTCAGCTACTGGTGGTAAACGTGGGAGGGTCATTTGAGCCCAGCAGGTGGAGGTTGGAGGTTGCAGTGAGCTGTGATTATATCATGCCACTACACTGGGTGACAGAACAAGACCCTGTCTTAAAAAAAAATAAAAATAAAAAAGCCAGGCTTGGTGGCTCACGCCTATAGTCCCAGCACTTTGGGAGGCTGAGGTGGGTGGATCATGAGGTCAAGAGATCGAGACCATCCTGGTCAACATGGTGAAACCCCGTCTCTACTAAAAATACAAAAATTAGCTGG